TAAATGGCTTCTTTCACTCCTCCTTCAAACCATCTGTCTTCTCTGTCCAAAATGTGAACACTGGCATCCTCAAAAGACTGATGCCAGTACGAAAGAGTGATGTACTTCAAAATCCAGCAACATACTCAGACAAAAACGGGTTCATCCCAAAGGCAAAACACAAACTTAACAATGTAGTGTATGCTGTACAGTTTAGTGAGGAATACCCAGACCTCTACATTGGAGAGACCAAACAGACACTTCAAAGCGCATAGAACAACATAGAATGGCCACCTCCACGGGACAAGACTCGGCTGTCCATCTGCATCTAAAGAACAAAGGTCACTCTTTCAAGGATGCCAGTGTTCACATTTTTAAACAGGTGAAAATATATTTATGAGCAACAGGAATTAGTGGCGCTGAATCTTTGATTTTATTTATTTTTTTGATGTGTTTTACTTGCATCTATTTGAAAGAATTAAATTAAATTACATTTTATTTTGATAATGACTTTCAAAGTAAAACAGAACACATAACAGACGCAGACTTGACTAAGGGATACAGCTGACAGAGAACAAAGGGAACGCAGCGGTAGGGATGACTGTTCACTAAATAGAAGGAGCACAGAATCACAACCTCAGAACTAGAACACAAGAAATGGTAAGCTGGGAATACTAGAGAGAGAAATCAAAAACCAAGAGACTAGGAAAGACGCATCATGAAATCAAAGATAACTGATGCAAACAGAAAAACACGGAGCCCACAGACACAGAACTGTGACATTTGTAAAGCCCATGTTGATATAATTGCTCCAATTTTACTCAGGATGGTGAACTGCTCCATTGCATGGTATTCTTTTTCTGATTGTGTGTATGATGCCCATGTTTGTCTTCTTCCTAAGAAGGACAGAGACCCCACCAATTAGTCTATTAATTAAAAAAATCATCTTGTCTTCACGTCTTAATAAATTTGAGGGGGCACTTTAATTTGATTTGACAGGATGAAACTTGGTTTATCCCTGACACATTTGCTTTCTCTAATACCTGTCATCTGTTGAATGTACTGTATGGAACAAACCCACCACATTGAGCTGTTATTTCCTAGACAACATTCTAGGAGTTGACTGAATGTTGGTAAATGGACTGATTCTTATATAGTGCTTTTCTACTCTCCCGGAGTACTCAAAGCGCTCTACACAACATGCCTCATTCACCGATTCGAAGCACTTCTAAACTCAAGTGCAAACTAAACTACATTCACACTCTGATGAACGCATTGGGGGGCAACTTGGGGTTAGTATCTTGCCCAAGGATATTTGGCATGCAGACTGGGAAAGCCAAGGTTCGAACCACCAACCTTCCGATCAGTAGCTGATCTGCTCTACCAGCTGAGCCACCACATGTTGGGGTGGGTGTAGTTTTGCTGGTGTGGTGTGGTCAGGTGGGCTGCCTCGTGCTCTGTGGGTCTTGGCAGTGCTGCTGGATGGGCCTAGGGCCCTTGCTCTTGGTTGATTATGGGAAACGGGGGTGCCCACTGGCATCAGCAGGGAAGCTGGGTCCAGGGAGGGGGCAATTTTGATTGCTACTGTACCAGAAAGGAGAGGCAAAAAGGGAAAAAAAAAAAGCAAAAAAACCCCTAATTAATATATCTATATCTGTATCTATAGATAGATAGATGCAATTTCCCTGATATAGCAAAGTATTTTATTCTATTTTCGTATAGTATATTATTCTATTTTATCTTATTCTATTTTATCTTACTCTATTCTATTAACGTTTAATTATCTTAACTTGTACTGTCCACTTTCTGCCGTAACCAAAAAATGTCTCATGTGTGGGACTAATAAAGGTTTAACTTATCTATTTTATATAGTACTTGTGACACAAAAATGCAAAAATCTGAACTCTGACTTTCACATTGACTCAACATGGAGCCATATTTGTACATTTAAAGCAGTTTGAAATGTACATTTCTTAAAATATGTTTTGAAGAAGCACCTTTAAAGCTGCATTTGATGTTTAGTTTTCCTCTCACTAAGGTGTTGATGATTTATCCTATACAAATATTTAGCAAGCTGTGACCAAAATACAGGTGTTTGGTAGAATTTTGTAGAAGGTGATGAAAGTAGCTCAATATGTTCTAAAAGTAAAAATCAAAACTACTGTCCAAACTATGTGTGAGAGTTAAAAAATTTGAAGCCTAACATGCCACCAGACCTCATGCATGTAAACATGACGCTGCAGGTCGGCAATGATAGTCACCAAGGATCTAGACCTGTGAGTTTATTTGCACATCCTGTGCAATTCATGAGCCAGTAGCAATTTAGACAGTGCCTTACGCACTCTTACTGCACTACCAAATATTAACTTTGCGTAAGTAATATAATTTTATGATATGTTTTAAAATATATTTTATTGTCAAATGAGAATGTCTTGATTTTATGGTAGCATTTATTGTTTTGTAGGATTTTAGTTGAATTTATATATTTCAAATATTACGAAAAATCTGTTCCCTCTGTGATATTCTCATAAGGGTCTTCCGAATCGCCCTTTGTCTGGTCCCTCACCCAGAACCAGTTTGCCATGGGATACCCTACCAGGGGGCAAAAGCCCCCGGACAACATAGCCCCTGGGATCCCTGGGACACACAAACCACTCCACCATGACAAGGTAGCGATTCGCGGAGGGGAATTTCAAACATTGTAATGTTCAGACATATAGAACAAAATAAAATAAAATAGATTTTTATTGTTATTGCACATGCACAATAAAATTGTGGGTGTTCCACACCATCTGTGCATGGACTAAAGCTATAAATAGTATTGCAGCAAGAATAAATATCAAACGAGAGGATTATAAACAAATAAGAGGAAAAAGCATAATAGAGGATAGGTTGCAAATTGCTTGAAAGTAGTGCATTGGACTTGGTCTGAGTATAGTCCATGTGTGAGTGGCCCGAGTGATAAGGGTTCCTCAGATCATGGCTTAGATTGGTGGGTGGGTGGACAGGGATGGGGTGTGGGGGGATAGTGTTTGTTGACAGTCCAAAAGTCAGCAGCCGGTATCTTATGGACCCAAAATGCAGATACAGGAGAACGGAGTTGAATTCAAACAAAAGGCGAGACTTTATTAGGGCTGATGACAGGGGTAAAAAATAAAAGCAAGGGCGAAAGAGGAATGACAACTAACCTTGTAAGCTAAACTAGGAAAATTAAAACAAGATAACTATGACAGAACTGTGAAGCTATGAGACAATATGAAAGCTCTGACATTATGAATGCTGTGACGAGCATGGAGGAAAATAGACATCCTGACAAAGATTGATTGACAACACAAAGACTAAATACACACATGAGGTGATCAGACAAAGTGGAGACACATGAGGAAACAGCTGACTAGAAAGAAACATAATGACATCACAGGGGAGAGTAAAACTAAACACATTGTACAAAGAAACACAAGACATTTCAACATAAAACAGGAAATATGGAGAGACATAGACATGACACAAACCAGCAGGGAATACTTAACACAGGGGTGATGACATAAAGGGATCTAATAAACAAAGAAGTAAACTAAGTAACCTGGAAGCTACTACCAAAAGAACTAAACATACACAATCAATATCAAAATACAAGGAAACTCAAAGCACTGGGTCACACGACCCAGGACCATGACACTGGCTCAGGGGAAGAAGTTTATGCGTTTGGAGGTGTGGGACCTGATTGACCTGAGGCGCCGACCAGAGGACAGCGGGTCAAGCAGGCGGGGTGCAAGGGGTCACGTGTGATAGGTCTGATTTTCCTGAGACAGGACGATCTGGCGATGCCCTTCAGTGGTGGAAAAGTACAGTGAATGATTTTTCGTGGTCCCTGAATAGAAAACATCCAGGCAGTAGGAGAACCCGCTCTCCCCTGAGGAGCGGTAGTAGGCCAGTAGCAGCTTCAGGTCGAGTTTGTTCTTCCTCTGGATGCAGAGGAAGTGTGGCCGCTGATGGGCCTTCTGATGGGTCCCAAACCTAAAGTACTAATATCTGAGTTCTTTTGTATGAGGGAGGTTCAGTTTCAGGTTATCAATTCTCAACCTCTGCCCTGTACGCTGTCTCATCTTCATCAGAGATGAGCCCAATAGCGATGGTGACATTGGTCTACTTAACGATGACATTGGTTGGGTTGGTGTTCAGTCATAGATATATAGGGCATACAGTAGGGGGCTGAGAATGCAGCCCTACAGGGATATATGAGTAAACTGATGAAAATTAGTTAAAGACATACATTGGTCAATTGTGTATGTAATGTGTAAAACACCCCCGATCAAATTGAGACTTTTCTTTCCTCGGTTTAAAGTTCCTTTCTGCTTGTGAATTTGCAGCATTCTCAAAAATGAGCTGCTATGTTAAAGCAAATAAAGGAATCAAATCCTGCTGCTTAATGGCTTTTGAGTAGAACATGAATACATGAGCAAGCTCCCAAGTATTGCAGGATGTTTGTCAATGATCTTATCAAATGTAAAGCAGATGGTAGATAAGTTGGCATAAGCTTTGCTTAAAGCATCTCATGTAGATTTCATATTATGTTAGGCAGTGTTGGGACTAACGCGTTATTAAGTAACACGTTACAGTAACTACGTTATTATTGTGGTAACGAGCACGGTAATTAGTTACCTACCTGGAGTGTCTCATTTTCCCCTTTTCATTTCTGTTTTTAATAAATTATAATTATTGGATCCTTATGAAACAATAGATTTTTATTGCTGCCTCTGTTGTCTTGAAATGAAGATATATTCAAGTGCAAACATACTTGTTCAATCAAGAGGAAGGATGTAATAATAAGTTATATGGGATTTGTGAAGGGTGTTGGACAGCCATCCAGCACATGTTTGCCATGACTAGCAATAAATCTTCACGTCTTACACAGGAAGAAGCTGTGAGAAAAAAAAGAAGTCTGATCTCAATATAAAAGGTAGTCAAGAACCACTCTCTACATTACCCACTCAGGGAACATCTAGTCCACAGTGGCAACAATGAGGGGGAGTTCGGTGGGGTTGTGCTTCCTTGCTTTGACTATAGCCCATGTCACTGAGATCCAAGCCAGATTGGGTAAGACTCAAATTATTTTGGTCTGCTTTATTTAAATAAATGTATCTTCTTCATTGATGCATATATGAACACAACATTTATAATACTTCCACCAATATTCATCTTTTATTTACGTGAATGTTTCTCCAGTCCGTAACCATGTGAGCAGCATCTGTAGCACATGGGGCAGGGAGCACTTCAAGACGTTCGATGGTGATGTGTACCAGTTTCCTGGCATGTGTGAATACAACCTGGTCTCCGACTGCCATGACACCTTCCCAGAGTTCTCTGTGCACATGAAGAGGAATGAAAATGATGGAAACCCGACAGTCAGTTATGTGGTGGTCACCATCACCGATTTTGCATTTCACCTCAGCAAGGATGTGGTCACTGTGAACGACCTGCCGTAAGTTAAAAAAGCAACTCTGATAGAATTATGATGACAATGATAATCTTTTATCTCAGATATATAAAACCAATACATACACACATTCCTAATGACATGAATTAACCACTAAATCATCATCAAGTCTGAAATGGAGTAGGAAGAAATATCCACATGCTTATTAATCTCTGATTGATTGATTGATTGATTGATTGATTGATTGATTGATTGATTGATTGACCATGTTCATCATTACGCACACTTCCCCTCAGCACTTGTATACACTCATAAAAAACACAATAAATTAATATAATTAGAGTGAAATAGTTAAATGCAGATAGGAATTTCCCCATGGGGATCAATAACGTATAAATTATTATCATTATTATTATTATCAGTCATCAATTTCATTAATTTCACATTCTTCAAAAGCAGGTTTCGAAAAATTTATTTGAACTGAAAAATGCTTGAACATTGGTGTAGGTCCACTGGAAAACTGTTCCACAATTTTATTAGACAAATGGAAATGCAAAAAGTTTGAACTGTTGTTAAAGATTTATATTTTATGAGTTCCATGAATTTCAAGATTTGTTGACTCCAAAAAGAAAATGTTAGTGTGGTTGCTGAATCCGGCTTCATTTAATGATTGTAGTTGCTTTTCCTGAAGTTCAGATAATGACTGAATTTAAGCTTTTTATACATTAACCCAGACGTCCAGGCAATACTCTTAAGTATGGCAATGTGAGTGAACAGTTGAAGTTCACAGAGTGATTTATAATGCAAAAGACTTTATTCATTACAGAGATGCTTCTTATATAATGTTAATTATAGATATAAATGAATTATAATTGTTAAAAAGATATTATCTTTCTTCTCAGTGTCAAACTGCCACACTACGAGGCCGGAGTACAAGTGGAAAGAAATGCAGTCTACATCAAGCTCCAGTCCAAAGTTGGCATCATTGTCATGTGGAACCTTGATGATGCAGTCATGGTAAATCCTTAAAATAGACAGATCCAATAGGACATTATTTTAAACACATTTCTTTTATTAATGACTAACAGCCCAACCTCCAGAAATACTTAGCCATACTTTTATATTTTGGTCTGTGTGGCATTTAAATAAACACATTGTCCTCGAGTTGAATTGCCGATTACCTGGTTCACTACAACAATAGTTACAGTGGTTACTATTGTCCTTGCATACATGTAAAGTCCTTAAATGTGGCAACTTTGATGCATTCGTTTCATTTTATTTTGTTATTATCATATATATTATATATTATATATATATTTTAATATCTTAAACATGTCATGTCTGGTTTCTAAAACTTTTTCTAACCCTTTACTCCATATTTAAGGTGGAAATTGATAATGATTACACTAACCGCACTTGTGGACTTTGTGGAGATTTTAACGGTGTTCCAGTTTACAACGAGTTCCTCCTTTATGGTAAAAGCTGTTCATCATTCATTAATTTTTTAAATCTTCAATATGCTGGCTATTGCGTGTCCCTACTAATGTAATTGTATGCAAAAGGTCGGAAAATCAGCCCCATTGAGTTTGGCAACATACATAAAGTCCATCGTCCAAATGATGATTGTGAGGACCCATATGAAGAGGAAGATGTCTCACAGGAAGCTATGAATGTGCCAGAGTCATGCAAAGAGTTTGTGAGTTTTGTTACCTACTTTAGCCAGGTTTAACGAAAGAGATCTGATGTTTTTTTTGTTTGCATTAAATAATTGTGCATGCGTTTACTGTTGTTTAGCAAAACACCTGTGAAGAGATGCTGCATGCAGAAACCTGGAGCTCCTGTACCAAACTGATTGACCCCGAGCCTTACATTCAGGCCTGTGTGCAGGACATGTGTGGCTGTACCAACCATTCAGATGACTTTTGTGTCTGCAGCACACTCTCTGAGTTCTCTCGACAGTGTTCCCATGCAGGAGGGGAGCCTCCCAACTGGAGGACTTCTGAGTTCTGTGGTAAAGTTTTGTTTTTTCTTTCTTTTTCTTTTTGTATTTTATATATTAAGTGGTAGAGAGAGAACCAAAACACTGAAATCACCTGAGCCAAGTATATGGTGAAATTTGGCAAATGTCAGAAGTAAAATAAGTGCACAAAAAAATCTGCTGTTTTTACACTCAAGTGAAAAACTTCAACAAGTTGATGTTTAGACACTTTGCGTAAATTCCCACTTCCTTCACAGCCAAACAGTGCCCATTCAACATGGTTTATGAAGAGAGTGGATCCCCTTGTGTGGATACCTGCACGCATCAAGACACAAGCTCATTCTGTGAGGACCACAAAATGGACGGCTGCTTCTGTCCTCCTGGTTAGCGCGCTTGTCAAATAAGTTTCTTTCTACACACCTGTTAAAGCTTCTCTTTTCATGGGATGTTACCTTCAAATGCCAACCTTCCATTTCAGGAACCGTGTTCGATGACATTTCCATGAGGGGGTGTATTGCTCAGTCTGAATGCCAGTGCAAGCATGGAAAAATCTATGAATCTGGTGAAGTTTACAGACAGGAGCGAGAGGAATGGTAATGTTCATAATGCTATCAGAATGTAATTTTTAACAATGTGTCTGCATATTTTGTTTTCTTAATGAATTTGGGGGGTTTTTTCAGCACGTGTTTTGAAGGTAGATGGGCTTGTGAAAGTCTTTCAACACCTTCTACGTGTGCGGTTGAAGAAGGTTCACATGTAACCACCTTTGATGGGAAAGACTTCACCTTCCATGGAGACTGTTACTACACCCTGGCAAAGGTGGAAAGAAAGGTAAATGAGCCTTAGTACGGTACAGTCAAATTTTAGACAATACTGTGTTGGGCACATGTAAGTAAAAATATATTGGATTAGGCTACATTTTTTTTCTTTTGCTTACGTTATGTGTATTTCAGGATGATGCAAGCCCTACGTTTACCATTCTGGTCAAACTGGTACCATGTGCACACCAAGAGTATGACACCTGTCTGAAGACCATCAAAATCCTGCTGAACAATGACAGACACAATGTGAGTTTAATACCGGGCTCGTGCTTTAAATATATACTGACAGCTGCAACATTTTAATGATCGATTCTGTTTTTATTCAGGTGTTAACATTCACTGCTGATGGCGCAGTAAAGCAGAATATGCAGAGTATCAGTTTGCCGTACTTCTCAGGTTGGTCAGAAAATAAGGAACTTTCGATTTAAGATGTTACTTTCATTTATGCTGAGACGTAAGAACTTAGCCACTGAGCCACTGATACCACAGATTTTTGTGTATCTCTTCATTCACAGGGGATATCAGTATATTCCACGCTTCGTCCTTTCACATCATCCTCCAGACCAGTTTTGGTTTGCAAATTCAGATCCAACATGTGCCTCTCATGCAAGTCTATGTCAGCCTGGAGCAGAGTTACAGAGAAAAGACACGTGGTAAGTTTTACATTAGTCTTAAAGCATTATATCACGAGGGCTATTATGCATTTATTAAGTAACTATTTATTGCAAGACTTAAAGAATGCTGTCTGTTGAAGATGGTTACATGATTTTGATGTATCTGTGCATTTCGAAACAAACTTTGCGATTTGCAGCTTAAACAAATGAAACACCAGCAGATTATGTTGACATCAGTGATTCATATGTTTTTTTTTTAATTAAACACTGCCAGCAACCTTATTACAACCTTTTGGCTAAAAGGTTGTAATAAATGGCCTCGCCCACTCTTAGAGCTACGGCAAGAAATTTAAAAAATAATGAGGGCGCTCGTAATAGACTGTTAGCTTCTTCAGATGAAAAGGAACCAGTTAAGATGGTGTGGGCAGCTAACTGGTATGCCATAATTAAAAGGCTATCTTGAAGGTTCAGTGAAAAGTAGACACTGAGGTAGCCAAAGAACATAATAGAGAAATTGTGTTTTATGTGACCAGGGATGATCTCAGGATTGTCCCACTCTGAATACCACCCAACTAGCAAGCCATTGAAAATCATTTGGTTTCATATACTTTTTTCTTTAGCATTCTTATTTGCATTTCATGATAATTTCTTCATTAAGAATCTGTAATTTTTAGGTTTATGTGGGAACTACAACATGGTCCTGTCTGATGACATGAACACTCGTCAGGGCATTGTGGAGGGAAGTGCAGCAGCTTTTAGTAACTCCTGGAAGGCTAGCCATATATGCCAAGACAGAGAAGACAGGCTCGATGACCCTTGTTCTTTCAGCGTGGAAAATGGTAAACTGGAAAGTGTTTTTGTCCATCAAGTTTATTTCTTATTCCTTATTTTATTGTCCACGTTTATGTTTTTTCTGAACTCCACCTATTTGTTTAGTGGGTTTGGATTAATTAGTAACTATAAATTGGTCATAGGTGTGGATGTGAGTGTGAATGGTTGTCTATCCTCTATGTGTTAGCCCTGTGACACACTGGCAACGTGTCCACGGTGTGTCCAGGGTGTACCCTGTCTCCCACCCACCCCGCGACCCTGACAAGGATAAGTGGAAGAGAATGGATGGATGGATGGATGGATGGAAGGAAGTTTATTTCTTTAATTGCTATCATTTGCTTGAAACTGATTTTCCAGGCACTAATTGCAGCATATATAAACAAGCAAGAAATATAAGCAAGAAATTACATTTTTACTCATCTACTTATAGAAAAGTATGCCAATCACTGGTGTGCCTTGCTACGACAGCCAAATAGCACGTTTGCAGAGTGCCATTCTGTTGTGGATCCTGAGATTTACTACAAGGTACAACACAATCTATCTGTGTTTCTTTAACTAAATACAGTGGGACTGTAATACAATAAAAATGTGTTCACTGTTTTCTACAGCGATGTACTTATGCTAGCTGTAACTGTGAGAAGAGCGAGGACTGCCTGTGTGCTGTCTTCTCCTCCTACACAAGAGCTTGTGCATCAAAGGGAGTGTTCTTGACAGACTGGAGAGAGAATGTGTGCGGTAAGTGTATCTGAAACAGCTCAGTAATCAAGTTTGATGAGCGTGTTCTTTTTTATTAGTTAGTCCAGAACTATGAGGTAATCATTAGCATATTTTCTGTAAAACAGAAAAATACACCAAGAACTGCCCAGCATCTCAGACCTTCTCTTACAAAAATCAGAGATGCCAGCTGACTTGCAGCTCATTGAGCTTAAAGCAGCAGAGCTGCACCTCTGATTTCTTGCCTGTGGATGGCTGTTCCTGCGCTGAGGGTCACTACCTAGATGACAACGGCATCTGTGTCCCAGTGGCAAAGTGTCCCTGTTACCATAATGAAGTCTACGTAAAGTCCGGCAAGTCCATCAGCACCAACAACGAGCGCTGGTGAGTCACTTCAGGATTTCAAATGAAACATCCTAAACTAAGGATTAAACAGGACCGTAATACATGTAGTATGATGGATTTACACAGACTTGGCTTTTTGTGTTGTATCTTTATAATTTTGGTGACTTTTTCTAGCATATGCACCAACGGAGTTCTTCATTGCCATTCTGGGAGAACCCGCATGTCAAGTCAGTTTTTTTCTTCTTCAATGAGAGAGTTTTTTTTAAAGACAATATATAGTATATTAAAGGAATTTGTACTTTTTTTCCTACAGTTTCTACAGCTTGTCCTTCTCCAAAAGAATACTTCAACTGCTCCACTGCAAGCGCAGGAGTTGTTGGAGTGCAGTGTGCTCGAACTTGTTTAAATCTGGACAATGATGATTGTGTGAGTTGTTTTTGATGCACCTCCAAGTCTGAAAAAACAATATCTAATAAATATTATTATTTTTATTTTTTTATTTATTTTTTTATCAATGTGGTCTTTCTATCCTCCCAGGATGCCACAGAGTGTGAATCTGGTTGTCGGTGTCCCAGTGGCCTCCTTGATGATGGTAAAGGTTTCTGTGTGAAAGAAAGTGACTGTCCATGCAAACATGATGGCCATCTCTATGTCTCCGGGACACAAATACCTAATCAGTGCAATACCTGGTAGGATCTTATTTTATTTTTTTGTTATTTTCTAATTAATACTTGTAGAGTAATAAACAGTATGTGATATATATGACATGTTTTTCTCACAGTATTCAAATTGTACTGTATTTACTTTTTTTTGTTGATACATTTAGTACCTGCCAAAGTGGAAAATGGACATGCTCTGAGAAAAAATGTCCAGGAACTTGCATTATTTATGGAAGTGGTCACTACACCACATTTGATCAGAAAACATATGCATTTCAAGGACAGTGTGGCTATATTGCTGTAAAGGTAAATAATGTATGCCAGAATCATCCAAAGCACAGCTGTCACCTAAATTGACCTTGTCATGTCCTCATCTAAAGTTTCTCATAAAAATAAACTCTGAACAATTAGGAGTAAAGTCAGT